CTCTCTCTCACTCTCTCAGACTTAAATATATTCCTCTTCTACTGCCCTCTGCATTTGCACCATCCCCACCCATACAGGATAGAAGCACACTCTGAGGGGGCAGCAACTAAACTCCATAACCTGAAATAAAATCATGTCATTGACTATAAATGAGAAAACTCAGTTTGTCAATCCAGTTCCACACAACCTAGATTCAGTTTCAAACTAAGCTCTCAGTAAGGAGGTAAGAAAATTAAAAATAATACTATAAACTAGGCCCAGGATGAGAAAATTCCTTAAAGAAATGGTTTCCAAAGTGGGGCGTATATTAAAAAAAAACCAAAACTGTGCACGTGTTTCCATAGTGGACACTGTGCTGTTATGCATATGTCCACATAAAACCAATACACACATATTCAAGTAAATACTCAAAATTTTTCCTAAGAGGTGATCAAGATATTCTGCAAACTGCTGCTGTTCAAGGAAGCTCTGGCAGCTCAGTGGTGAAGAGATGCAATATCAACCCAAAGGTATATGTTCTGAGCTGCTTTTGAGAGAAAAAGATAGGCAAATTCCTCAATGCGATTTCCTCTGAAAACCATCGAAGCATCAGCTATGAGTTGGTCTGACTAGGCTGTACATAACAACCACCATCATCAAGGACTACTCCTTTCTTAGAATATATGGGGGGGCGGGGAACAGACAGACATGCACACTCTCAAATTATGGACGGCGTATTAAAGGGAATGCTCAAGGCCCTCAAGCCGGCACCTGATCTTACATTACATTCCCTGACCTGGGGAGGACTTTTACCTCACTTGATAATTGGAACAAAACTCCTTCCGCCACCAGTTAAAGCTAAGCATCAATTTCTACCATCTAGTCACCCTGTCATTTGTACACTAAGGCTGGGAAATCAGAAATCAGATCCGTTTGGCTGCTCTCTTGGACATACCAACACCTGACTCCCTCCCCTGCTTACCATAGGTCCCAAACTCTGTAGGATTTGCACCTGCAAAGAAGCCAGGGGCTCCGGCCTGCACGGGGTACTGCTGGGTGGGGACAACATAGGTAGAACGGCCCTGCTAAAGAGAGGGAGGAGAGGACAGGGTTTGAGGGAGCTTTAAGCACCATATCAGATAACAAAGCGAACACAGGGTCAGGGCAAATCAAGTTCAACTCTGACAATGACCAAGGAAGTCCCACCTATGGAAGAGACAGGACTGGAGGGCCAGGGTGAAGGAATATGGGTGGGAACATGGTTCTGCAGCCTGTAGCTCCCAAGCTTCTAGCTCCCAAGCCTCCAGCCTTACCTGCCCAGGGATGTAGTAGGCCCCCTGGGAGGTTGGGTAGGAGAGCTGGGAAGGGATCATCATCACTTGGGATCCAGCAGGGTAGACATGGGCAGCTGGGCCCGGGCGGGCGGGGGCTGCACTCTGCACTCGTGAGGCTGCACTGCTCGGGGGCTGGGCCCGGCTAGTGTAGAAGTGCTGTCAGAAGGGAGGAAGGCAGTTGGCACGGGATAGAGGAGGAAGTTGACTATAAAATGGCCATCCACAATGCCTCTATAATCTGGCAAGAAGTCCTAAGGGTATCAGAGGATGGGAATCAGTCTTTCCAGGACACCCCTGACAAGCTGATGGTTAAGTGATCTCTTGACTTCACATATGCCCTCTATATTCAGGTAGACATTTTGCTTTCTGTGTATTTAGTCTCTCACTGCCACGCATAGTCATGTAACCTTTACCAGATCCCCTCTGCAGAAGCCTCCTAACACCCAGATGCACCACACCGAAGGAAGATCCATTCAGGCAAATACCCCCCAGCATGCACTTCTCTACCTTAAGGTACTGAGGGCTAGCCTCTAACATGCAACAGTTACCCAATTACCAGATATGCACACATTCTTTGAAATTTAACCAACTAACATGCATCAATCAGCCTTTAACAACCTGGACAACAACTAAGTCCCCACCATAAAGAGCTCAAGTATCTGTATGTAGGCCCTAGCCAGAATAGAAGCTTCAGGTGAGGCCAAAAGAAAGTTCAGGATTAGGAAAGGAGTATTACCTGCAGAGACCTGAATCCTCCCTGAGAGCACATGGGGACAGGAAAGAAGAGAATTATCCCCAAGGTGATGAGAAGGAGGGGAAATGAAAGAAGTCGGGCAAGAATCTTCCCACTTTGTGAGGAAGAATATGGGGAACAGTAAAAGGCAAGAACCAGCTGGAGTGTTTCTATCGCCACTTCAACGAGAAAGCAAGGAAGGGGAATGTCAGCCTCCCAGTAAAAGGAGGAAACAGGAAAGCAGGAGTTGGCATCAGGGTCCAAAGCACTGCCTTTAATTCTGAGCGGTACCAAGTATCCAGTAATGCCACCCCCACCAACCACATACTATCCAAGGAACCAGAGCAGAGTGACCAATAGCACAAAGTACAAAACTGCACCAAAGAACATGCGGCAACTCTCGAAAAATTAAGCATAAGTACAGGGCCTCCAGTGTCCAGCACAGACCCAAACTGACCTACATTATCCACAGCTCCCACCTACACCCCCCCTCACCTGGCGGGGCTGAGAAGGCGTGTTCATTTGTGTCGCTTGTGGCGAGCTGAATACCACCGGTGCTGTCTGCCCCGGGGGAAACGCTGGCTGAAGGGAGGAGACCAGAGTTCAGCAAAGGGGGAAAACCCAGTGGGGTAGAAACCCAAGATGATATAAATGGAGGAGACTTGTGGCAAGAGTCTAAGTAATCCACACACACCCCCTCCCCATAACAGCCTTGGGGCCGTCTCAATTTGGCAGCAGGCAGCTGCACTTTGCCCTGCCACAGATGGGGGTGGAAACACACAGAGGTTAGAACCTGCTCCTGACCAGCTGCCTGGTCTCCCCCACCCCCACACCAAACCAAAATGTAAAAAAAAAAAAAATCCAAAACCCAGCCAAATCCACTACCTTCCATCCCACAGTGATTCATAGGGACCCTTTAGAACAGGGTAGAACTGTTCCATGAGGCTTGCAAGGCCGGGAATCTATAAAGACGCCCTCATCTTTCTGTCAAGGAGTGAGTGACCGGAACTGCCAACCTTTTCATCAGCAGTCGAGCACTTTAGCCACTGCATCACCAGGACTCCTACCCCCCCCACCCCCCCCCTAATTCTCAGTCTTCCTTTCTAATTACCTGTGGGAGTCCAGGGGATGGGGCGGGCGGGGGGCCTGTGGGCTGTGGAGCTTTGTTCATTTCATTTGGTGCCACATCAGGGTCCCCCCAACACCTGTTGGGAAAGAGGAAGGGACCCAGGCTTAAGGCAAGTGGAGTGGGGGAAGGGTTGAAGCAGCAAGGGCTGGGTCCAAATCAGAACCGCGGAGGCGCCAAAGGGGTGAAAGAGCGTGTTTCAGTCCCCACCAACATGTTGTCAAACCCGCACCACCTCCACCCACCTCCCTGAACTGCAGCAATAGCCCTCTCACTCACCCCCTCGATTAAGAATAGATCCACGGTGCAGCCTAAAGGTTCTGGGCATCCGAGGGCCTGGGGTTGGGAGGTTGAGGGGTATCAACCAGGCTTCGCGGGGCCCAAGACCAACCAGACCGGAAATTCCAGGTCTAGCTGGCACCAGGCTCCCGGATCACAAACGGAGCTAGCTGCTTCGACCCTGGCGTCCCCACCCCCCCACTCGGGGACACCGGGTTCGGAGCTTGGCCTGGGGGTACACAAGGTACGCCTGCCGCGGGGGGTACGCGCGCGGAGCTGGAGGCGATGCGTGCCGCCGCCTAAGAGTGCAGGCCAGCAAAGGTGGGAGGAGGGCCCTAAAAGGCCTGGCTAGCGGCGGCCGCAAAGCCAGTTCTAGGCAAGTGAGGGTCGGCCTGGAGGGCGGGCGGGGCCGGGGGCTCCTCCCCGCCCGCCGGCGCTGCCACCGCCCTCCCCTGCGCCCTCCCAGCGCAGCGCCGGCCAGTGCCAAAGAACAACGTGTCACTTCCCGGCGGCCTGGCCGCGAAGGGGGGAGGGGGTGGCGGGCCGGGAAGCCGCGGTGTCTGCGCCCGTGGGCCGAGGGGCCTCTACGGCCCGCCGGGGCGCTTCCAGGAGGCAAACCCGGCGCCCTCCCAGCCCCCAGGGCCCGCATATTCCCGCCCCACGCCCTAAACCCACACCCAGTGGTCAGGCCAGGCCAGGCCGGGCACACGTGGGCCGGGGATCGGGCCCCGGCGGGTCGGAGTCTGGGCTCGGACCGCGAGGCCAGGGCGCCGGGGCGGCGGCGCAGGGTGGCCGGTCCCGGCCCGGATGGCGGCGGATGCGGGGGGGGGGGGTGGGGGGGCAGGGTCGGGCCCGGACATGGCGGCTTTACCTTCAGTCTCCTTCAGTCCGCGCGGCCGAGCCCCACGCAGCCGCACAGACGTAGTCCACAACCATTTCCGGCTCCCCGCATAGATCCCGCTCGGCGGCCACCGCTTCTCCGCAGGCGCAGCCGGCGCCCCCACGTGACCGGCGCAGAGGGCGGAGCCGCGCCCAGGAGGCATAGGTCCTCGGAGCACATGGGCTTCACCCCGCCTGCTCACGTGACGCCGGGCCCCGCTCGCTCTTCCGAACTTTGGAACTTGCCGAGTATCATCTTTGCGTTTCTGTTCCGTGGTTCATTCATAAATTAAGTAGATCTATATTGGGTGCATATTAAATGCGACGCGAAGTGTTCGAAAGACCAATTCCGCCTACATAATCATGGGGCAGAAAAGAAGCTCCGGTGGCCGGCTTAGAGAGTAAAGAGTTGAGTTGCCAGCCTGGAGGCGAGCAGTTCTAATCCACCTGCACTTGGGGAGAAAGATGGGCAATGTCAGCCTATGCGATTTACAGCCTCAGAAAACTTAGGTCAGCAGTGAGTTCGGACTCCACGGCACATAACAACAAGGAAATAGTGCAGGTCTTGAAAACAATGTCGATATATTGTTTGTTCCTTAAAAGATTTATTAGCAAAGGGGATGAACTGTTGTATAGGATGTTACGCAACTGCATTGGTGTTGGTGCCATCCATATCAACCTTAGGAACAACAGCTACACTGATTCTCTGGAGCGCATTGTCAGCATTCATTGTGTTAATCTATCTTGTCATGGTCTTCCTCTCTTTCTCTGACCCTCCAGCGGGATGTCTATTTTCCAAGACTTGGCCCCTTTTGATAACATGCCTAAAGTTTGTGAGATCAAGTTTCAGCATCCATCCCTCTAGCGAGTAACCTGGTGGTACTTCCTCCAAGACAGTTCTTTATTCTGACAGTTCATAAGATACTGAGTGCTCTTCTCACAGTCTACTCAAAGGCATTAAATCTGTCATCCTTACACGTTGTCCAGCTTTCAGAGGAAATAATTTAAGACCATGCCTTGCATCAAATGTGCAAAGGAACATAACGAAAACGGTCCAAGAAAGAAGCAAGAAAATAGAACTAAGGCCAACAACATCTGCCACGGCCCTTCTCATACACACGCTCCACCCCTACCCCTCACCTTTCCCACTCCATAGTCCTGCCATTGGAACTAGGGGCACTATAACTTTGATGAAGCGCAGGGCCTGCCACGACTAACTCGAAAAGAAAAAAAAATTCATATTAAGGAGAAGATCCATAAATACTAGAACTTTGCTCTAGATTTATACTTCTCACTGGGGAGAAGGGACCTGCTGACTTTTAGACAGTGTATCATGTTTGGCTGTTTGTATTTCTTGTTTTGCTAACAAACCTGGTCAATCTATGGAGCTTGATTCAGGCATGATCTCCTCAATCACTTGCAATGCATATGAGAGCTAGACGGTAAGGATGACAGAAGAAGAATTTGAATTGTGATGTTGGAGAAGAGAGTACTGAATATCCCATGGACTGCCAGAAGAACAAACAAATTTATCTTGGAGAAGATGCAGCCAAAGTGATCCTTTCAGTGAAGAAGGGTAAAGTGTCATCTCACATGCTTTGGGCATGTTGATAGAAAGGTTATTCCTTGGAAAAAGACATCATGTGTGTAAAGATGGTGTGGTCAGTGGAACAGAGGAAGACACAAAACAGATGGGCTAATACACTGCAGTAATGGGCTCAAGTAGTCAGAGATGATAAGGATGGTGGAAGATAAGAAGGATTCAGATCTGTTGTTCACAGGGGTCACTATGAGTTTACTCACTCGACAATACCTAACAAAAACAATACCATTTGTTTGTGCAACCATCTGTCTGTGGCAACCTTCTCTGCAGAGAACTTGCTAGTCCTCTCCGAGGCATTCAAGCCCAGGCATCTTCTACACGATTTCCAGACCCTCACAAGATGCATATTATTCTTTAAACTGAGATTATTGCTAGATAATGACTAAGGATGATAGAAGAATAATTAATGCCTTTGAATTGTGGTGTTGGAGAAGGGTCTTGAACATACCATGGACTGCAAAGAAAATAAATAGGTCTGACTTAGAGTGAAGCCAAGTTTCTCCTTGGAGACTAGGATTTTGAAGCTCTGTCTTACATTCTTTGGACATATGGCCAGAAGGGACTTGTCTTTTGAATAAGACATAAAGCTTGGAAGGGTGGAGGGGCAGTGCAGAAGAGGAAGACCCCCAGATGAGATGGATTGACAGCATAACTAGGGCAATAAGGGTGGGTGTGTTGGAACTAGTGAGACTGGCTCAGGACAGGGTAAGCTTCAGAGCTGTTGTACATAGGGTCATTATGAGTGACTCCACAACACATAACAACAACAACACTTTAAAGAGGTCCTTGACAACAGATTTTCCCAATGAAGACAGCTTTTTCTTCACCCATGGTAATAGCAAAAAAGGTGATTCAACAGAATGTGGAAACTATTGACATCATTAACATCCCTGGCGTACACCTTTCCTGATTTTTACCTAGCACTGTTTCCTTGCTCTGTCCTGACAACTATCTCCCAGTCCAAGTATAGGGTTGGTTTTGCTTATTTTTTTAAAAAATTAAATTTTTTAAATTAATTTTAAT